TGTACCCACCATATGCTGTATGTATGAGTTACAATGAGGACTCTGCCTCGGTATATGTATCCACTATATGCTCTGTGTATGAGTTGCTATGAGGACACAGCCTTAGTATATGTACCCACTATATGCTGTATGTATGTGTTACAAGGAGGACTCTGCCTCAGTATATGTATCCACTATATGCTCTATGTATGAGTTACAATGAGGACTCTGCCTCGGTATATGTATCCACTATATGCTCTGTGTATGAGTTGCTATGAGGACACAGCCTCAGTATATGTATCCACTCTAGGCTCTATATATGAGTTACTATGAGGACACTGCCTCAGTATATATATCCACTATATTGTCTATGTATGAGTTGAGCTGGAGACTCTGCCTCAGTGTGTGTTCTTTATATGCTCTGAGTCGCTGTGAAAACACAGCCCCAGTATATGCCCTCTACATGCTCTATAGGTAAGATGGTGTGGAGACATTGCTTCAGTGTATCTGTTCTCTATATGATTGATATATTAGTGGAAGCACAATATTTGTTAATGATATAAGTACATCCGCTATATGAGTCCAATCTAATACGGGTTCTATGTGTGGGTTGTGAGTCACAACCTCAGTATAGGTGAGTGGTATATTATGTGCATGAAGTTCTGTTAAAACACAGCCTCATTTTATCTCACTCATATAATCTTAAGATGTGTACAGGTATGGTGTCAATGTACATAGCAGATGTAGACTAGGTATGATTACTGTTTAAACAGACTCAGTATATGTAATTGATATATCTGTGTATAAGGTGCTGTTAGAAACATCCACAATATATCTGATTCATATAATCTGTATACAGGTTGGTAGTATTATAGGACCCCAATTTATACACAGCATTGGTAGATTTAATATATACAAATTATCTAAAATCTGTTTTGCGCTGAAATGTAGCACTGCCCAATTCTAGCAAATACAAATGCACTGTTGCACTGGGTAAGTAATTATTGCCTACTGTGGATTTTCTATTTAAGTTTTTAAAATGAAGTAGATAAGGAAACATACTGCTTTTGGCGTTGTATTAGACTCCTTCTCCCACAGGTGTTTCAGGATAAGCAATTAACACATTTTACCACTTAAGATAGATTGCAGGTGTTACTGAACCTGTCTGAGTGCCTCTCCCAGGTGAGAAGGAGACCTGTTTTTCCAAAATGAAGCATGGTAATGTTTAACATAATTGTTTGTTCTTTTTGTGTGTATCCATTTATACATGAGACCCATCTACAAAAGTTTTTCTATTGCCAGGCATCCTCTCCCCTCTGCTCGAGATAGAGAATGTTTTTTTTCAATTGGTGGCAGTGTTTTACCTTTAGATAAATGCTGATTATTATTAGATTATTAGATCATACTGGTTGCAGGAGCACAAATTGGGCTATTAATTGATTTCATAAGTAGGTAACGCTGAAGCCATTACCTGATTTAAAAGCTGTTAATATTGTTTTTTCTTTCTCCTGGTCTTAACCTTTTATTCTTTAAATCTGAATTAATTTCCTTAAAGCATAAAATTTATATTCAGTATTCTCTTTTATCCCTTGGATACCTGAAAGTTTGGCAATACCTTTAGTATATGTCAGGGGTGACATGCTTTTAGTTCTTAAGGAGTTAATGATCAGAAACTTCTGACAGATTCCCCTGTTGTGAAGGGGAACGTTATAATTTCCTTTCTGCAATAAAGGTATTCTTTTAGGCTCATATGCTCCAGGTAACTTTGATGCTGTGTATTGCAAGTATTTTAGGTCATTCCAGTCCCCAGACCATTCTACCAGGTTTACTATTTCAGGTAAAATTCTCCTGCTGCCTGAACAATAGAGTAAATCCCTAAACAGGTAGTTCCATTACAGACCTCTTCTGATATTCATGGGGATTCTTCTAGGTGTCCTTATATCGGGAATTTGCAACCAATGTGTGGCTTTAAATGATTGATTCATCCTGCATAATGTAATGTAATGCAGCCTGTTGATGACCAACATTTGACTGATATGTTTTACAGGGTCTCTGTACTTAGATCGGTATAAGTTATGGTCTCTCCTAACATTGCATTGATTTAATACTTGTGGATTATATGTTTGGATTGGTGTTGATATCTTGCAGATATAACAAGCTGTTTATTATCACCATAGGCTCTGCCATAAGTACTTCATCACTATCTGAAGATAAGGTAAGAGTAAGTATGCGGTTGCTGTTCTCATAAGGATAACTGAATACTATCCTGCTTATTATGTGTCTGTTGCCACCTTCCCATCAGTATCTTGCCTATTATATATCTCTTACTTATGTTGCACAACAGTCTCTAATAAATTTGATTATACTGTTTGGCATAATCTGTACTATTTACAATATGTTTATCTTTGAATGTAGGTTCTGACGTGGTTGGCCTCCTTATAATTTAGTAGTTGCCACAAATTCTATGTTTCATACCGATTATTTCTTTTCTTTCCCTCAACTAATCTGTATATGATTCTTCTTGCCTTTGCCTAGTAATGTGATTAGTTTATTCCTCTCCTGTGACTGATCGTTGCTGTATCAATTCATCCACTGTATGAGGTATTGTTATGAATCTGAATTCTCCCCGTGTTTAATAGCATGGTGTGTCCGTTCTCATCCAACATTATCTGCTTGTTCCAGTATGATCTCTGGAAGTTATGCCTTCGTCAAGGTTCTGATTTATTGATATCAATTTGGTTTTAAATTTTTATACCAGAATGACATTTTCCTTCTCTAGCTTATGCTATCGTGGCCTTAATTCTATATTTAATTCTATATTTATTCAGGATATTTCAGATATTGAATGCCAGGAGGTTGCTGACCTTGCAGCCTCTAGGGAAAATGATCTTGTCTGAGCTAGATTTTATGACAATTTCATATTTATTCTTGTTTGGCTTTGTAAAGTCTTCTAAGATTTATACAGCTCAATAATGGTTTTATAGCTATTAGCTGTTTTTGAACTCTGTCCCTCCCTATATATATTGCTTGGGTATTCCCCATGAGTAAATGCTGCCATGAATAATGGTCAGGAAAATTGAAAATTGTTCCATACTTACCGTAATTTTCTTTTCCTGATAATTATTCATGGCAGCATTACGTTCCCACCCATATACTATAGGAGTTGTGAAGCTAGTTACAAAGACTGCCTGATGGGTAGGGGGAGGATCTATTTATACCAGTTTCAGAGTTCTGTTTCCTGTCCTTTCTGCTGTAAGGGGAGGAGCTAACCCATGAGTAAATGCTGCCATGAATAATGAGTAAATGCTGCCATGAATAATTATCAGGAAAAGAAAAGTATGGTAAGTATGGAACAATTTTCAAATATATATTTATTTTTAAAAATTTTTTTACATTTATTAACATTATTTTTAAATTTGAATACTTTTTTTTTTGTTTTACTTTTTCAGTCAGCTCAGGCAGTCCCCCTGTAGGCAGCACTATGGACGCTTATTGCGGCCACGTGACCGCTCTTTCACAGCGATCACATGGCCTGCTGGGTCCTAATTTGCTGAGAGGGGACTACCTGGGTTGTCAGACAGTCCCCCCAGACAGAGAGGAACACCGATCGCCGGCGAACAGCAGCGATTGGGTAAGTGAATAGGAATACCTTTGGCGTATTAGGTACATCTGAGGTCCTGGTGGGAGGAGGGGGGTTAATACTTGTATTTTTAAAAATGTTAATTTTTTAACATTTTTAAAATTTAATTTCACTGAGTGCCTCGACCTCTTGAGGCACTCAGCACACAGGCAGAGCATTGGAAGCCTGCCAGATGGCTTCCGATCCTCTGCTACACTTCCGGGCACCATCTGGGGCAACCCAGAAGTGATCAGGAAATCTTTATGGAACCATGGCTTGAAGGACGGCTCTTGCCTCTGGTCATTAACCCCTTAAGGACACATAACGGAAATATTCTATAATGATTCCCTTTTATTCTAGAAGTTGTGTCCTTAAGGGGTTAAGAGGAAATTAGCTAATGTTGTGCCCATTTACAAGAAAGGTAATAGGGAGGAGTCGGGCAACTATAGGCCAGTAAGCCTTACTTCAGTAGTGGGGAAAGTGATGGAAACCATGTTAAAAGGATAGGATTGATGAACATCTAAAAACACATGGATTTCAAGATCAGAGACAACATGGGTTTACTTCAGGGAGATCATGCCAAACTAATCTTATTGATTTTTTTGATTGGGTAACTAAAATTATAGATCAGGGTGGTGCAGTAGACATTGCTTACCTAGATTTCAGTAAGGCTTTTGACACTGTTGCACATAGAAGGCTTATCAATAAACTGCAATCTTTAAGTTTGGATTCCAATATTGTTGAATGGGTAAGGCAGTGGCTGAGTGACAGGCAACAGAGGGTTGTAGTTAATGGAATATATTCGAAGCTTGGACTTGTCACCAGTGGGGTACCTCAGGGATCTGTACTTGGACCCATTCTCTTTAATATTTTTATTAGTGATATTGCAGAAGGTCTTGATGGTAAGGTATGTCTTTTTGCTGATGATACTAAGATATGTAACAGGGTTGATGTTCCAGGAGGGATAAGCCAAATGACAAATGATTTAGGTAAACTAGAAAAATGGTCAGAATTGTGGCAACTGACATTTAATGTGGATAAGTGCAAGATAATGCATCTTGGACGTAAAAACCCAAGGGCAGAGTACAGAATATTTGATAGAGTCCTAACCTCAACATACGAGGAAAGGGATTTAGGGGTGATTATTTCTGATGACTTAAAGGTAGGCAGACAATGTAATAGAGCAGCAGGAAATGCTAGCAGAATGCTTGGTTGTATAGGGAGAGGTATTAGCAGTAGAAAGAGGGAAGTGCTCATGCCATTGTACAGAACACTGGTGAGACCTCACTTGGAGTATTGTACACAGTACTGGAGACCGTATCTTCAGAAGGATATTGATACCTTAGAGAGGGTTCAGAGAAGGGCTACTAAACTGGTTCATGGATTGCGGGATAAAACTTACCAGGAAAGGTTAAAGGATCTTAACATGTATAGCTTGGAGGAAAGACGAGACAGGGGGGATATGATAGAAACATTTAAATATATAAAGGGAGTCAACACAGTAAAGGAGGAGACTATATTTAAAAGAAGAAAAACTACCACAACAAGAGGACATAGTCTTAAATTAGAGGGACAAAGGTTTAAAAATAATATCAGGAAGTATTACTTTACTGAGAGGGTAGTGGATGCATGGAATAGCCTTCCAGCTGAAGTGGTAGAGGTTAACACAGTAAAGGAGTTTAAGCATGCATGGGATAGGCATAAGGCTATCCTAACTATAAGATAAGGCTAGGGACTAATGAAAGTTTTTAGAAAATTGGGCAGACTAGATGGGCCAAATGGTTCTTATCTGCCGTCACATTCTATGTTTCTATGTTTCTAAGAGGTAAATGTTTACAGGGTTGTTTACTGAAGTCTAAATGCCCATAAACAACCAGTGGGGGCTATACAGAGCCGTCTAATATTGATTGGACCCTGGGCAAGTATTGTATGGGCCTCTTGGTTCCTGCTCCCCCACCCCACTCCCTGGCATGCAATCACACCCTCCACCCCAACGCAGTGGCGGAACTAAAGTACAAAGAGCCCTGGTGCAAGAAATATTTGGGCCCACCAATCTCAAGGTTGGGCAAAAGGCAGATCCCCATCTGTCGTGCAACTCTAATAATACTTTGACAGCTAGGGCTCTACAATTTTTCTATACTTGCATGGTATATTGTAGCACTGAGCCGTGTTTGAATGTAAGCATGTTTTTGTATGGATTATGTTTGTGTGAACGGGGTGTTGAACAATTGGACTTTTTCAATTGAATTAGTGATAAACCAATCATGAGGGATTGTTGCCCTATTTAAGCCCACAACCAAGATGAAGGTTGTGAGCACGTCCTGAGGAAGCCGATTGCCGAAACGCGTTGACGTCATACAAAGGGGGAGGAGCTTACAGACCACGGATGCGGAGGCGTTTGTTTTTCTGGCAGCAGACAATACACGAGGAGATTCTCTAGCAGCCGAACAGGAAGAACGCCTGACGAGCAGCCTACCACCCTAATGATTGAACTCTGATAGTGAGTTGACATATATGTGTCAAACTCACCACCTTATCTAGTAAGGGGCTTGTCACCCTATTTTTTATCATCATTTTTTATTATTCTATTTTATGTATATATGTACTGCTTTTTCTGCATGTGGCAGATAATAAATTTATGTCAGCTTTTTCCTATTGGGGTTTCACCAAATATTTCTTAAAGTGATACTTCACAATTTATGAATTGTTATAAGTATATATGCTTATATATTTTTTATACAATCTGAACTATCATTGCCTTTTTTTTTCCCCTTTTTTCTTTACATATATACCATTATTGCTGGAAGTTACACTTAAAATCAAAACCAGTTTGTATGTGTGTGTGTATGTATGTATGTATGTGTGTGTATATATATATATATATATATATATATATATATAAATTTCTTCTGTCTTATATATGGTATAAATTGCTCCACTCACTAGCACACATTACTTTCTCTTTTTGGTAGAGTTTTGGGATTACACCAGAGTGTGAAGCAATTTTGAAAACAATTTAGCACCCAGGTTACATCTGTTCGCATATACACACACACACACACACATGCAGGTACAGACACATAGACTGACACAGATACAGACACACCGATACACATACAGACATACAAACAGATACACAACCTGACACACATGCAGATGCTCAGACGCACAGGTACACACATACAGATACACAGACACATATACTGTCAGACATACAGACACACACATAAATACATACACTGACATGCACACATGCAGGCACGTATACTGACAGACAGACATACTGAAAAACACACAGACGCATACACTGACAGGTATACTGACACACATATACTGAAAGACATACTGACACACACAGGCAGACATACTGACGCGCACACACATGCAGACATACTGACACACAGACATACTGACACACACAGATACATAAACTGACAGACATACTGACACACACACACACAGACAGATACACTGAAAGACATACTGACACACACACAGGCACATATACTTACAGACATACTGACACATACACTGACAGACACACAGGCACATATACTGACACATACTGACACAGACACATACACTGACAGGCATACTGACACAGACACATACACTGGCAGGCATACTGACACACAGATACATACACTAATAGACATACTGACACACACACAGATACATACACTGACAGACATACTGACACAAACACACAGACATACCCACACAAAGACAGACTGACAAAGATACTGACACACACACAAATAGACACACACACAGACATACTGACTGACAGACAAACACAGACATACTGACCAGGGCCGGACTGGGAACTAAAAGCAGCCCTGGAAAAAATTCTATACCAGCCCAATAATGCGTCGCGCCAGCATAGTGTGCTGATTTAGAGGGTGAAAAAATTGCTTAAAATTGAAAACTATTACTCCAACGAAAGAACGCATATAGGGCTTCAAAATAAACAAAAGGGCGCCTTTATTTTAAGCAGACGTACATTTGCATGTAATCAATGTTTCAGTACAACTACTTTGGCCTATTAAGGACATTTGAGTAATGGGACTGAAATGTTGAATGTCTGCGGTTGCACAACTGGAAAAAAAAAAAATGAAGTTATCTTGTTCATTTTGAAGTCCTATGGGTACGCTCTTCACTTTGAATATGTTATTGTGCATGAGTATGCAACTAGCAACAAGACTGGGCCAATATGTGCTCATTACATATATGTATATATTAATGACATTTATGTGTGTATTATGCATATATAAATGTATATTAATATATATGTAAATATTATAGGCATAATTATATATGTTACTAATACACACATCAATATACATGCATATATATATATATATATATATATATATATATATATATATATATATATATATATATATATATATATA